CACATGGAAACGTTAAAAGAAGTTTTCGAAAAACTTAGAGGGGCTAATTTTAAAATACAACCGGATAAAACGGAATTTTTAAAACACGAAGTAGATTATTTAGGTCATGTCGTTACTCCGAAAGGTGTTAAGCCGAATCCAAATAAAGTACGAGCTATCCAAGAATATCCCCTTCCCAAAACAATGAAAGAAATTAAAGCATTCTTCGGTCTAGTCGGGTACTATAGGAAATTTATACCTGACTTTGCAAAGATAACGAAACCCCTTACACAGTGTCTAAAAAAAGGAGCGAAAATTAACATCAACGAACCATCTTATATTAACAGTTTCAATCTTTGTAAAAGTATACTAATGAATGATCCAATTTTAAAATACCCCGATTTTTCTCGTCAATTCATATTAACGAGCTATGCCAGCAATGTGGCGTTGGGCGCAGTTTTGTCCCAAAATTTTAATGGAAAAGAATTGCCTATAGCTTATGCTTGTAGAACTCTCTGTGAATCTGAAACAAAATTGTCTACAATAGAACGGGAATTAATTGCAATTGTTTGGTCAACAAAATATTTTAGGCCATATTTGTTCGTTAGGAAATTTGTTATACAGTGCGATCACAGACCATTACAATGGCTGTTTTCTATGAAGGAGCCGAATTCTAAATTATTACGTTGGCGACTCAAACTAGAAGAATACAATTACGAAATAAATACAAAACAGGAAAAGAGAACAAGGTAGCTGATGCTCTTTCTAGAATAGAATTGAATGTACATGAAACCGGAGACGAATTAATTAGAGACTTTTATTTACAAAATCCAGATCTCGAACCCGATAGATTAAATTTGGAAAACGAATCTAATGTAAATCTAGAAAATGAATCCATCATGGTCAATGTAGATGAACTTGATGGAAATGTAGATGAAAGCATCGACGATGACGATGCGACGGTACATTCCAACGGAATTGGAAATACGGTTACAAATATACCGATTATTGAGGGTCCGGTTAATTTCGGTAAAAATCAAATAATAATTTCAGAAGTCGAATTTAATCCGGCAAAGCCCAAAATTATGAAGTTGTTCGGGAATTCAAAAACGCGAATAAGCGTCCAATTTTCAAAGAACGATTTTACTAATGACGTTATTGAGTTTATACAAGAATTCGTCGTGCCTAAAATAGCATATCACTTGTATTTCGAGTCAGATTTATACGAAAAATTTGCGAAAGTAATAATGGAGGTATTCACTTATTCAGAACTAAAGTTTTTTAAATGTACAGAAAAACGTATCGATGTTTTAGAGGAATGCGATATCAATGAAATTATAGAGAAATATATTTCAAAAACAAATCATAGGGGCATCATGGAAACGGAAAGTAGAATAAAACGTATCTATTATTGGCCTAATATTAGTAAGTCTGTATAAGAATTTATTAATAGATGTGAAGTATGTCTTTTAACAAAATACGATAGACAACCCCTGAATTTAAAGTACAATTTGACTCCGACACCAAGCAGACCTTTTGAGATTGTTCACAGTGACACAATTACGCTAGAGAATAAAAAGTTTTTAACAATAATAGACACCTTTTCTAAATTTATTCAAGCCACCAAAATGTATTGTAAGCATATGTAAGCAAAAGCTCTTTCCCTGTTCACTATTCCCATTACACTTGTGAAGACAGATTCAGGTTAATCATATCCGTGAACAGGAAATGTTCTTCTCAAATTATAAGTTGTGTTTAACTAATAAAGTTCTTTTTAAAAAGACTCTCGTTTAGACAACACACGTAACTTATATATAAGTTACGCCTGCACGAAACCACTAATTCAGCAACAAATGATTCTGCCCCTATACAAATTCCGAGAATGTATTATAAGCATAAAATGTAGATTGTATTTTGTGACCCCCTCTTTCACAGATCCACTCGGGACTCCGAACAGTACAGAAACTTTAAAATAGAATCCTTGTGTAAAGTTGTAGTTTATATTGAATAAACGTTATTTTTAAAAAATTAGTTTCTTACATCGAAACCATAACTGGCGCAGTCGGTAGGACACCTGAGTAGTAGTGACTTACACTTACTGTGAGTAGGAACTATCCTTTTAAAAAGTATTGAACACCACACTCACTCCATCATTTATCATTTCTGTTCCATTGTTTCTATCCCAATTCAAGAAGGGCCTGTAAACATGGGAAAAAATCAAATAATAATATCCGAAGTAAATTTTAGTCCGAAAAAACCAATAATTACTAAATTGTTCCAATCAAAACAGAGGATTACTATAGAAATTTCAAAAAATAACTTTGAGCAGGATATTGTTGATTTTGTAAAAACATTCATCTTACCTAAAATTAAATATTATTTGTATTTTGAGAATGAAATTTATGAAAAATTTACGAATGTTATAACGACCTATTTTAAACACACGGAAATAAATTTTATTAGATGTACGGAAAAGCTTATTGACGTAGTTGAACCAGACGAAATTTTGGAAGTGATAGAAAACTATCATACTGGAAAGAGAAACCACAGAGGTGTCGATGAAACCTACAATAGAATTCGACAAAGATATTACTGGCCGAATATGAAAAAACGCTATACAATCCTTTATTAATCAATGTAAAATCTGCCTTGCTTCAAAATATTATAGAGTCCCTCTTAACCTAGAGCTAAATATAACACATACAGCTAGCGCACCTTTTGAAATTTTACATTTAGACACCATTACCCTTGAGAACACAAAGTTTTTAACTTTATTGATGTATTTTCAAAATACGCTCAAGCTTATCCACTAAATTCAGGACAAGGCTTGGAAATAGCCGACAAATTGGTGCAATACATGACCCATCACCCAATTCCCGCACAAATAACAGTGGACATGGTCTAGAATTTAATAACACTGTGGTAAAGGATATTTTGAACCTTCACAAAATTACTTTGCATTTTACATCCACACAGCACCCAGAATCAAACGGCCCAATTGAAATATTTTACAGCACCCTAATTGAACATATTCGTCTTTTTAGCAATCAACCACTTTTCAAAAATGATCCCATCAAAACTAAGGTAAAATATGCCATATTGGCTTATAACAACACATTGCATTCGTCTACGAAATTCTCTCCTTTTGACGTTATGTACGGTCACATCGACAAGAGTAATCCATTTGATATCGAATTAAACCAAAAATTAATAAATAATTACGTAGAAGTACATAAAGATAAAATTAAACTATTATATGAAAAAGTTAAAGAAAATATAACTAAAAATAAAAAAAGGTTATAGGAAATTTGAACGAAACACGAGAAACACTTCCACAGATACCTGACACTGTGTACATTAAGAACAAACATCAACAAAGTAAGACACTTATAAAAATTTAAACCAGCAAAAATAAAGTCTATAAACACAAAACTAAAAATAGCCAAAATTGTTCCTACACACAAAAATACTCAGGATAAAATACACATTTCAAATATTAAAAGACTACGAAACCAGACTTACAATCCTGATGTCCCAAGTACTTCCAACACTTTGGACTCTTGAATGTAATTGATATTAAAATCATAACAACCAATCCTGGGATAATACCAATCAAACTGTGGGAAGCTAGAATGCAAAAGTCAGAACACACATTTGTACATTATTTTAAGATTGATAAAATTTTACATAAATTAAATTATATTGATGATATGTATCCTGTATGTCTTAGTATAGTAAATAATCTATACAGCGATAAAAACCTAGTAGATAAGGACTCTAATGATGATAATAGGTTCCTTCCACTCCTCTTCTGAATCACAACTAGAGGAATTAACATAGTTGGTATTACAAACGGCATTGGCGTAATTCATGTAAACCTTGGTTTGGCAAAATTGGAAACTTCAAAACATAGTTTTATTCACTATTTTAGTTTAAGAGAATTGTTTAACCAATTAGAATATGTAGACGAATTTTAAAACCATGTATCTAAGATTATCTATTCCAATAATATTTCGTTAAGTAGTAAAAATGTAGATTATGTAACTGATAATAGTAGTAAAATAAGACTACTTTAAGATTAATTATTCATACTAAAAATGTAACTTCAGAAAAGTTAAGAATAGCTTTTGTAGAAAATAAGAACAATGCTAGAATAAAAGCAAGTTTATTTAATGGTGTAGGATCTATTTTAAAGATGTGAACTATTTTCTTAAACCAAAATGTATATTCATAATATAGATATCATACGTTTAAATAATAATTGTAAACAAACTAAATTGAAATATCTATGTTCATACGATTAAATCAACCATAAGGACAACCTGTGCGACAAGGCCTTACTTCTTTCTGGTGATCCATCGAAGTGTACATACACATAACTCGTCGTACCTGACAATCACCTGACTTGGATTAAGCAAAAATCAACAGGCAAAATTCTCAATCAACATTAAAAAAATTGGGATTAGAGGAGCTGAAACTCAACCATGTTTCGCCAATCATCAAGACTTCCTACATTTCAAGGTCTATGAGCATAAGGACCATGCCGGTCTATTGTTTATTGGCCATAGGCTCAACTTATGGAATCTTCACATGGTATCGCACACGGAGACAACTCTTGGCCACGGCAACCCCTACCAATCAGCCGCCCCCGGGAGTTTCATTTGGGGATGGAGGAGTTACACCTGCACGAAACCACTAATTCAGCAACAAATGATTCTTCCCCTATACAAATTCCGAGAATGTATTATAAGCATAAAATGTAGATTGTATTGTATGACCCCCTCTTTCACACATCCACTCGGGACTCCGAAAAGTACAGACACTTTAAATAGAATTCTTCTGTAAAGTTGTAGTTTATATTGAATAAACGTTATTTTTAAAAAATTAGTTTCTTACATCGAAACTCTAACTCTAACATANTATAACATAATAATAATAATGTGCTTTTTACCATTACTAATAACGCCTCATTTCAGATTCTCGAGAGATGTATATATATATTTTTTTTAATATCACACAGGAGAAAGTTCCGGATCCACTTGCAGCTATCCAGTGTCCAAACCACAGGCCAACGAAGGACAACCAAGGCTGTTCGAGACGGGGACCACCATCTACAACCAACCACTTTGGTGCTGTCCAGGAGTGCCTCCCACTCGCAGACCACAACTTTGAAGATGGCGAACCGCGGACGATTATTTTATTTCGATAAAAGCAAATTAAAAGTGACAATCAAATGCCTTACTGATGCCTGTGTAAAGTACTTCAATTTCTTTTTTGTGCGAAAAACTCTTTCTCAACAAAACGACCAATTCTTCCGATATTTTGCCACCAAATTCCTTCTTTCTCCAAAGAGATTGTTTTAATCTAAAACATAGAAATTCAAGAGTAAATACAGTCAACCATCCAAGCATGGACTCTATTTTTCTCAAACTTCCTTATCCTTATGAACATTTCCGAAAGATACTACTTCACCCATATCGTATCACCAACAGTTTCTAAAATTCCAGCACAAATTTCCTAATACAGTTACACCGATAGAGCAAAAAACAAACCAGGAGTAGGTGCCGTCATTAGATGCACATATAAATTCAAATAGTACAACCGTCTAGTTCTTTCATAGCTGAACTCCTATCAATAGAAAAATCACTACCGTTTTTCAGCCTTAAAAATAATAATGTCATAACCTGTTCTGATTCCTTACCCTCTTAACCTGAACTCAAAACCAGTTTTCCCTTAATCCCATCATTCAAATAAATTATGCTCTTGAAGATCCTTAAACTAAAAAAACATCAATGTTTCTACTCACTAGAAATACGTTTCTCTTTAAATCCTAGAATCTTTTTTTTTTTTTAATCTAAGAAATTTATCCATGAATACATCTCACAGGCCAAATGGAGAGGCACCCTCATTCGTCAGCAGTTGAAATTATTTACCTCATCATCCTGCATTTAAAAAACAATCCACAAATAAATTAAGAGTTCGGCTTCAACGCTTCCGAGAAGTGTATTTCGGGAAAATCATTAAATGAAAATTTTGTTTTGTTTTGCGTTTAACTCGGTAATTATAAGTTTTAAACAAGTAGAAATTCATATTTTTTAAACCAACAAACAAACTTATTATTTTACTGATTTTATTACATTTTATTTTCAACACTAACAATATAGAACTACATAATAGGCAGCTGATTTCAGAAATATGACATTTTTAGTACAAGGCTGGTGAGGATATATATAATACGTTTGAAGACGTGGGTCACGTTTTTTGAGAAGATGGAGACGATGCATGAATCGTCATTCGATTGGTTCCGAATTGGATTGTTCGTATTTCAGTTTTCGTTGAACTGTATGTATTCATCTTTGTATTCTATATTAACTTTGGACTTGTTTGCAACAGCGGACGAATTAAACCTGAGAATGTTGTTAGGTATATGTATTGGTGTAGCGGCTGGCTGGATCACTGATTCTTGTATTCATAAATTTAAACTGCATACCATATTTATGACTTTCACTTTCATAGCTTCTTTTTTGACACTCTTTTTTTTCTATCTACTACGAACGACATCAACGAAAGTTCCACTTATTTCTTAAGTGCGAATACATTTTGTTTTTCACATGGAATCCGATAGCGTTTTCTATTTATTTTGATCAGGTGATATACAAAAAATCAGAGTTAGGTTTAAATACTCCAACATTCTTATCCATCTGGACTCGTTTTGTTACACAATGCATTTTTGAAGCATTATATAACGTTATTGTGATATATTTCGGTGACAGATTTCTGTATTTTTTTGTGTCTTTAACAACGACCCTCATATTGGCCGCGTTGATAGTCGTAACACTCTTTTTGCAAGATGGGGTTTCAAGCCGCCCGTGTTCTTCAATTTGCCTTGCACTACATTATTGTATGGAGCATACACATGTGAATTTCGTCTAAAGGAAAAATTCGGCGTAGAAACAGAAGAACGAAGGGATCCAAGAAAATTTCCACCGAACGTCCAATTCATGTGCAAAAGGTTTTGGGCTGTTACAATTTTAGCGTTATTTATTGCATTCTATGGGAGAAGAATATGAAGAAGAATATGAATGTGCTGGCAACTGTCACTTACACAATGCTGTCGATTCTCTTAGTCGGTACTACAAATTCTACGTTTTATGCCTTTGATTTATATATTTCTTTGGCCTCGACGATATTGCTTCCGATTTATTATTACTGTTCTAAGCGTTATAAGTGGTTTTCTAATGATTTTGGTCTTATAGGCGTGGGGAAAATAATCATGGTCATATCCTTATCATATATGATGTTTATAAACGTTGTGACTGATTTTCATGAGGCCGCACAACCGGAGGACGAATTCGCACAAATCAGAATCTGCAATATCCTCGATTCACCTACAGATGTAATTTCCAGTTTCTCGAATCTCGTTATCGAACCGATCTCGTACGCTGTTTTCTCCAGAATAAAAATAAACATCCATGGATTGGAAACAACAATGGAAATAAATAACCGGAAACACCGATTACACCAGACTTCTGCTGTCACATTGATGGATAGTATGTCACTCTGTTATTACGTGGGAAATGAAGGTTTTGAGTTTGCCGGTATCGAGCCGATACCCCCGAGATTATTTAGTATATTATTAGAAGGACTACGAAATCGTCCGATAGCTTATTTTGTCTCACCGTATAAAGACGCAGACCTGTCTGTGAGATACAAAAACGGTCGAGTCATCCAAATACCTAATATAAATTCAACTGATTTAAATTCTGCAGATATTTTTGAAGGAACGTTCGACGTGTTGCTCACGGCCCAAGGGAAGACCAGAGTGCATTACAGTAACTTCGAATCCTATAACGACAGTATTTACGCTATTTTGTTGTTCGATCCGACATCCGTCAGTGGTGTAAAAATTTTCACCGTCAAGCACCCGAGGGTACTACCTGTACAATTTTTGATACCGTCTGCGGCGTTTTTCGGTCTGGGAATTGGAATAGTTAGATTTCATAGGACCAAATGTATTGTTACCGAGGTCCCGCCGCCCCTCAGATCGGTTTTCATATCGGCAATGACCTTTTTCGAAAATATTCCGAATTTGTCATACTTTTGGAATATTTATTTCCAATTCCTTTCAGATTTAAAACAGCTTCAAATCAACATAACTATACTTTTAATATTTTTATTATTGTACGGTTCCCTGGTCATTAGGCATCGACCTTATACCTTCACAACCTACTCCTCCGATGTCGAGCCCGAACAACTGCCGAATCAAAAGACGTCGACTAAGGAATGCAGGAACGTAATGAAGCATTTTGCTGACTCCTCAATAAAACGGCAATGGATCGAATAATGTTAAAAATTTAATCATGACAAACTCGAATGAAAATAAAATCCACTGAGATTAAGTGTTCTTTGTGTGTCTGTTCGAATGACAACACTTATAATCTAAATACATAAATAAAACATGTGTTCAGACAATTTTTTATAAAACTTCTCGACAAATTTTAAAAATTACTTGCGTGTGTAGTATCATATCTCACACAAAGATCCTACGTTCTATTAAAACTTGGCAAACAGGAAAGAAGTTAATATTCCAGTAAACTCCGGTTTAATATATAAAAAAAAACAGATAGCGAGAATCCAATGTAATTAAAAGTAGAGTAGAGAACAGTCTACGAGAGTCTTATTGGATTCGTTCTCCACTGAAGATGGCGCAATGCCGTAACGCGTTTCAGTAGTACAATAAACTCGCGAATGATGAAGGGCCCTAAAAGTGACACATTGCCAGTTCGAAATAATTAAACGGAGTTTTTACAATTACTTACATTATTACATTGTTATAATTTGTATATTTATTTATTGTTAATGTTAAAAGTAGTTTTTGACTTTGAAATTTTATGACGTTTATTTTGCCTTTACGAATCTATCGATTGACACATACGTTTCGAACCACTTCGCTCATAAATAATTACCGCCATGATACCTGCTTAAAATTTGAAGAACGTCACAGATTTATTTAGATTTTTTCCATTTTCTCGTATATAAATTTGTATATATTGAAGTCGAATTTTCTTGCAGAAAAATATAATTCATTTGGACGGAGTGCGAGATAAAAATGATACTAAAACCATCATGGCATGTTAGCTTTGCCAGCGACTTCTTAGTGTAGGATCTTGCTTGTGGTTTTTCTTGTCCAAGCTGCAAGAACATGCACCTACATAGTCCTTCACAGAAACATAGAATGTGTTCTGCGGTCTCTTCCTCTTCCTAGCCTGAGTGATTACTCTCTCTGTATTCCTATTCGGTGCATGTGCCTTCTTGCTGTTAGGAGTCCAACCAGAGTCCTGGGTCGGTTGCGGTTGCTTTCCAGTAATTCATTTGCAATTTTTGCGGATGGTCCTTCTATGAATTTCTCCGCGTGCCTCATAACTGGGTATTATTCCACCCAGTTTTGGACTCATTAAGGATCCTTTTTAAGATGTATCCTCAATTCTGGCAGGATGCTAACACCCAGCAGGGTTCAGGACCTCGAGAGTATACGCCAGGTTCATTAGTGTCGCTGACTTCTGTCAGGGCCTCCATGAATTTCTAAACACTCTTTTGTCTTCGCCTCGAATGAAGCTCTAAGTGCTCCCTTACTCTCAATGAAAATTGCTATCTTCCGGCAATATATTCCTAGCCTTTATATTTCTCTGGCGCGTAGCTATGATTTCAGACTGTAGCACTGTAGCAACTTTAACTAGGTTTACCGTTAGTTCCCCACCAGAGCCCGGCATGCTGGAATAAGGCTGGATATTACAGAGTGTGGGCCGGATCCTTGAGGTCTCCGTCTGGGACACTATTTTTTTTGTCACCTCAGAGACATTCCTCGCTAACAACTTGAATTATAGTCGCCATTCCCCTTTTTGCCTCCTTTCATGCACCGGCCCTTTGGGGTGCCGGCAAAATCGAGGTTTTCCCAGGAGGCACTACGTCGAAGTCGGGGTTGGTCTTGTGCCCCCCTTGTAAGGAAAGGCAAGTGAAATAAAAACCTTGATCGAGTGTGTTCGTGAGTGAAATAGTGTCTATAAATTTAACATCGCAGACGTACAACGTAGCCGTAGAACAATTCAACTATTGAAACCGGGGTCTACCAATCAGGTTCTTGATGAAGAAGAACTCAACACTGTGTTTTAAGTATCTATAGCTAAAGAACGGGGGATACAATTGCTCTTAAAGGGCACAGTGTATTACTCACCCAGAACATTACACCTCTTCCAGAGAAAAACCTCAACTCCAATCCCAACAAATCTAAGATATATAGTTTGTTTAATTTGCATTTCGGCTTCTCGCCACATTCAGTGACTTAAACAGTAAAACATCGAAAATAGGCAAATTAAAATTATCGTCATAACTGGTCCCCACGCAGCCCTGAGAGGAATTTGTGAAATTTCGTCAAATTTTCCCTTTTTGCAATAATTTATGAATGAATGAATGATAAGTACTTTATTTGAAAAACAAAAGAGAGTAAAAGAAAAAAATTGTACATAACCAAAAAGCACATAACGGCAATGGTTATCAACCGCCGGAGTCGGACCTAAAATTTTTAATAAAGAAGGAACATTTCTTCTTAAGGAATAAAAAAAGAGAGAGAAAAAAATATATAAGTGAACTAAAATAACAACATATCTATTTATGCACATATAAATAACCAGGGTATCACTGATATATACAGTAGACATTTAATAATTGAGATAAAATACAAGCATTTTCCTGTAGTTCCAGGGTAATAATTTATGATCGCTTAAATATTTGTTATTATATATATGAACAATCAGGAATAATCTGGATCACGGTATGGTCTTGATGACAACGCGAAATCAATTGTTATTGCAAAGCGTTCGATTTATTTAAAGTTCAACTTCAGGGCAAAACAGTATTAATTATGTCTTCAAATTGAATTTGCTTTATCATCTAGACTACTGTGATCCAGTTTATTCGTGAATACAAAAGTAGTCGATACATCTAACACTTAAAACCCAAGTCAAATAATGGGGACTGAAGCAGATATAAAAATAATCGCTGTATATTCGATCAATTCTATTA